GGGCCAGGAGACTGTGTTCGTCAGACCTCTAACCATTGACCAACCTGGTATGAGAGACTCTGTGAGTGTCGCGGGACACTCTCCAGTGTAGCTCAATGGATCGCTGAGGTGCGCAAACCGTCACACCCCGGTAAGGTCCAGTCTCTTCGTGACGATGTTGTGTCCATATTCGGGCCCAAACAATCAAATTTGTAATCCTATTTGAACAACACTTATTTGCACACGCTAGGCCAAATAGTAAATGCGTTGGTGGCGTTCATCCCCTCCGTTTACCTGACATCATTCCCAGTTTAATATACAGGAATAGTGGAAGATAGATTCCAATCTGGTGGACCCAGTTTTGTAAGCACCCATATACTCAACACAGCGTCTTCACTTTGAACCACCTTCCTTCAGAAGTTTTCTGGATAAACTAACCAAACCAGTCGATCAAAGGGATATAATCTGTAATGCCCATCTCAATCGAATTAAAATAACCGCGTGATCCTGACTGGGCCTGGTTGGAGACACTACAAGATATGGCTGCCAACCGATGTCAGTGGCGTTCTTGTTGTCAGTTTCTATCCAGATCACCTGAGTGAGTGTCTGGATGTTTAGACACCTCGGAATGATTGTGGTACGCTAGCACTAAGTCCCTTCCCTGTCCACCTTTACTCTTCTCTTTATCATAAGGCTTTCAAATAAATCATGGTTGTGCGGCGGCGAAGCATCGATGTTGAACACTGATGTCATGGTGTCGATGATGATGATGATGGCCTTTCATGGGGCGCATCTTGTGAATAAAAAGCGTGCAGTTTATTGAGATTTGACCTGACGCATCCACGACATCGTACGCCATTTTTAAGCCAGCATAAGTGAACTGAGAGTTCGGTTTCCCTCAATTCGAGACTGTAAAATATACCTTATGTGATTGGAAGTGTTATGTTTCCTCAGAGCGAGTGGCCTCTCTTCGGAAGGATCTCCCTCGATTATTTTACGCAGTGCATAATCCTCTGTATCCCGTTTCGCATTTCGCCATTTTCTCTAATTTGGTCTCGTTGTTCTAACCTTATGTCCTATTATTTTCTCCCCTCATTGTCACCACCGCCTTATCCTTATCGACAGAAACATATCATCACTACATATTCGCGCCTAACAATCATATAACCATGAGGAAGAGACTCCTTGGTAAAGAAAGGAAGACGAAGGGTGGTGATTTAGTGCAAAGAGCTAGATGCCACCACTTCATTCACTGACGATTTGAGCAATTTGGTTGGGTAGCTCCAGATTGAAGGTGGTAGCTGATATAATACAGCGTTGTCAGAGGACTTTTAATTGGTCCACAGAGTCAAAAGAAGCTTTCAAGCCAAGAAAGGCAACCAATTGTTGGGCGCTTGAAACAGTGTCGCTGTTCCAAAATCTTTCGGAGGGTGAAAATATGACTGATGCTTCCTCTTGCAGGACGGAACCCAGCTTGGTTTTCACGAATCTCTCTGTCTTTCTGTTCGGTCAGTCATCAAAGGACAAGGCCAGAGAGCACCTTTGATGTCACAGCTACCAAGCTGATGCCACGGTGGTTTTCACACAGCGTCCGCTTACACTTTAAAGATAGAGGTAACTGCCCCATTCTTCAGGAACTTTCTCTTCGTTCCAAATAGAACCAATAAGCTTTGCCAGATGGGTCATTGGGGATCCTCCGCATTCTTTGCGGCAGTGAAACATCGGTGTTGAACACTGATGTCATGCTGTTGGTGATGATGATGTTCCGCATTCTTCGAACAGGGCTGGGTACAGATCGTACTTTCCTGGTAGGTTCTCGGGTTTCAGTAGGACGGGCGATTAAGGTTTACATTCCGTTCGTCCGTATGCACTATCTCCAAAGGCTGTGTTGAGGGAGGCCAGTTGAAATGTCTTGCGAGGTGTTCGGCTCATGTTTCCAGTCGAGTTTTTGCGATTGGGAACTTGTGGGTTCCCAACCAGGGGACAGATCCAAGGAAGGCAAAAAGATCCCACAGCATCCAGTTTTACTGTAACCGGTTTCATTTTGCATTGCCATGTTATGGCCTGTCTTCAGTGTGTTCCATGCTTTCTAAATACAAGTCTTACTACATGTGTCTGAACTTTTCATCCCCTTACATTTTGAAATACACAACTACCGGAGAAAAAAGTTGACCTGGAATAGCGGGTGGCTCGTCGACATTTCAGCGCATTGCAAGGTTACTCGTCATTTTAAATTCCGCAGACACTTCAACTTTTGCTCCTTGTTTTTCTGCTTCTCCAGTCGTAGCTTTCATCTTTCTCTTTGTCGAAATTTTTGTAGGAAACAAATGTCTCTTTCGTTCTATGGAGATTGCCTGCGATCCCTCGGATTCCGAGGCAATAGCTCGTTTCAGTATTTTTGTGGTGATGTACAACTGACTGTTTTGATGAATTGCCTTGTTTTTCATATTTCCTCCTGCGCGAACTTCCCCGGAGCCCCCAAAATAATGTTTCAAATGCCTCCGTATGCGCTTCTGTTACGCTCCACTAAACCTGTTGTCGATTTTCAATCAGGCTTGTCGTGGGACGCGATTTGATGAGGGCGTTAGTCTTCCCCTGAAGACGGACGCAGTGGAGGAAATCCTAGTAACCAAACTGCCATCCGAATCCGACATCCTTTTGGCCCATTCCACCGTCCCCGGTACGTTTATGCAGTGCGATTCCGCTCTAGAATGCGCGACCACAGCGTCAACCGAAATCGTTCTCGAATTCATGGAATTCTGTCCTAATGTATTCAGGTTTCGTTAATATGGCCACTCAGCAGTGTCTGGAGTTTAATTCATAACGTTGTGGTTTGTCAATTCGTCAGCACAAATTACTTTGGAACATCCCCGCGCACTAAATGGCATTGATTGTTGTAACCATGGTGAAGTTTCCGTCGATTTTGTTTTCAGTTTACTGTTGATAATGCGTGTTCTGTGTTCGAATGAGTTTATATTAGATCTCGGTGAAATTAACGACCCTAGAACGATTGAAAAAGTAGTCGAGTGGGAGGTCTTGGGTATACGGAAAACGAGTTGACAGCATGCACGATGTTGGCTTGTGTTGGCGTCCTCAAACGAATGCAACTACAACGCAATACTGTGTACGCAACAGTAGTAAAGCTTTTACAAGGCGCTTGCGTTCCAACAGCTACCGTATGGACTGTCCTCTTTTTATTCCGTCACCAGTGTAATGTGGATAAACATTTGACAGATCCCACAGACAGCCATCTTAATAAGGTTTTTCGGATCGACGGAAGTTACCGTAGGATGTCTCGCAACAGGACCTCGGTGGTAGCTTTGCAAATACATGCTTGCTGTTTTACTATTACTTTACTACTTTAACCAATAGACGGAGACCCGTTTAGTGCGTTTCGAGGAGCTTTCCATATGTGGTTGCTTTCTTTTTAAATTGTAATATGACGAGACAGAGATAACATCTTGGTTTGAATCGCGGAGATTTTTCCTCCAATTTCATAACATGATGGAACGAACCCACACTTGCGAAGTTCTGTGATCTGTGGTTGTTACTGCTTGGTCTTTGAAAGTGTGTGTTTACTTATCTGACACACATCATCATCATCACACCTCACAGCACCTGTCATACCCTGATTTTGCATGTATGGGAGGCATAATATTGTGATGGGTTCATGTCGGAAGGTTTGATGTTCATTTATGTTCTTCTTCATTTTCCAGCGTCTGTCGGCCACAACCTGTGCAATCACCAAGCCACTATTGACAGGGTCTAGGAGCTGGCCAGATATGTTCAGCAGTTTCAGAGACACCCGTTAAATACAGACTATCGCAGGATAGCAACATGGTAGCTCGCACCAAATTGATGAGGAGATAGGCTTTCATTTACTGGAGTATTGTAGTAGGAGCAAAACAGCATTTTTGCGCCTGCTGAGCAATCGTTGCTGTAAGCGAAGTTTATCTGCGCCCAAAGATGGGAGGCCTACCGTACAGTGGGGATCATCACTGGTGCACATTCCACGAAACTCCTTGTGTCTCCGAAACCCTGTGACCTCCAGTCCAGTAATTGATCGCCAGACCGTTCGACCATCAGTGTCTGTAGGTAACTGGCGCTTAAGCAGTATATAGCGCCTCTCATCTTTCGGCCATACGAGTGGCTTTCGTTAATTGGCTTTTCAGATCAAGGACCAACGCAAATTGAATTACATTCCCTTTGCGAGCTACCTATGGTTTGCTAGTAGTATTGGGAAATTTGATAATTTTATAGGAGTCAAGTGAAGGCACTCCGTGCTGTGAATTATTGCACAGCTGTTTCATGCTCTTTGGAAATCATCGCTGATGGATTCTAAACACCTTGGAATCTCGTCAGATGCATATTGCTGATGATTCTCAACGAGGATGAAATGACTGTAGTGCTTCTTATCTTTTCGGCATATGTCGACTTTGCTTGCTGGCCAAAATCTTTTATGAAACTTCGAAATCTGCTCACACTATCAACAAACTTGACGTTGTCTTGGAATGACGATTGTACGGACCCCGCATTACTTCAGTGTTATGATCAAGTTCAAATGAGCGGATAAATGTCAGACTGGTGGATGTTTTGAATTTTTCGGTGAACATTCATGGTCCTCTAGAGAGTCCGGTTGAATTAATCGGATAACATTGTTTTTTCTCTGCGAGGCACCAACCCAACATGACCTTCTTTAGTGGAGTGCCTATAGTAGCTATCCAATAACCTGCAAATTTACTACAAGATCAGTACAGCTTTCTGTTGTTGTCCCTTGTCTATTCCAGGCTACTTTGCCTGGCGAAATTCCGCTTCTGGAAGCTGGTTCATCCAGGAACTGTGTAAAATATTGGAGGATGATCTCACTGGTAAACAGCCCCATGACATTCTCACTCTACTGACAGTGGTTGCAAGATGTGTCGCCTATCAATACCGATCAAATACCGGGCGCCCGGACTCCTGCAGTATGGTGCAAATGACTGATTTGTCGTCTACACTAACTCGTCGGATGTACTTGACCGGTAGTCCTAGATGTCGCTGAATACTCTGGACTATTCTTCTGAAGGATGGAGCTATGAAGTATACCTCATTCGATGTCTCCCCAGTCATGGTCCCCATAAGACGTCCTCTTACAACCTTCACTGCGGAATAGATATCTATTGACCGTTATTTTTGTGCATTTAATCACTATTTTTGGAGCATTTTTCTGGATATTTCTAAATATTTGTATTCAGTTTTTGTTGTTTACTGGACCGTTTATCAATAGATAGTGAATAAAATAACTTTTTCTGTCATTTATTTTTAGTTTACAGTGTTCTGTTGTGATAAAAAATCACACAGTACCGTAGCAGAATGCGTTACTTTTCTACAAATCTGAGGTCGTTCAGGACAATATCGTTAGGCAGCAATACGCAGTAAAAATGAATGCTTAGTTGCCATACAACCATGAAAAAGGCTGACTGGTAAAGAGTGGAAACGAAGAAAACGGCGAGACAACAACAAAAGCTCATGTCCCTATGGAAAACGATTTAGAAAAAGATTACTTTATTTTTCAATATTAACGGGGTAAACGCATGTGGGCATCACATCAGGTTCGTTGCGAACTTTAGCTAGACTGTCCCACTAGAAAATGACAGCATGCTCGCCACTGGGACCGGCTACGTGTCACGTTCTGTAAGTTTTCTAATCACATACAAGGAGAATCACGCGGACTCTAACCAGGAGGGCGCGACGATGCCACAGCAATTAGTTTGGTGGTAGCCGTCTTCACTTCGTTACCAATTTGTCTTTCCCTCGTCAACAAGAGTTCGGAGTTGGAAACAATGCTTCCTTTGGTGATAATTGGGCATGCGTAGTGGGTGCCAGAACCACTTCAACTTGATGAGTTTCACTTGCCTCTCTAGCGATTCTGATGCATCACCTCTTACTCGCGTACTGACCACCGATGACCAGAAGTTTGTATCCTTCCGATATCCTCGGATCGGATGTGACAAGTTTCGCAACCGTATAATAACGCTGCTCTTAGAGTTGCCTTATACACACGATTGTCCGGCGAAGTTTATCAGTGCACAGGTGATGATAGTCATAATACAAATCAGAAGGTGAATGTGCACTAATAGAAGTTTTTAACATGGTTGCGACACGTATAAAATAAATACAATGTGAAATTGGAGCAAGTCAAATAGGGAACTTATCGTATATGGGAGTCCCTTGGTAGAGGTTCGGACGGCGGAAACGTGTTTTTCTCCGCAGTTCAACTGTGCTACACGTACTCCATGGTTGTCCGTGGACTTGTGGAGAGGTTGACGCCCTGCGCGCGCGCGAGTCTGTGTGTGACCTGACTAGGTTCGGTTTGCCTTTATGTAGGTCCCAGTGCGTGTATGTGGGCGCGTCGGCACATGAGTGGTTGCTACGCTGACTAGGCGGTGCAGACAATCGATGTCCGATGAGCCAGCTTAATGCGACGTGTTTGTGCGTATGAGAAAAAAGACAAGCCTCGCAATCCAGTGAGAGACTGAGTTGAACAGTCGAGTATGTGGGTGACGGGGTCGCTACAAGTTCACTTCTGACGCTTCAGGTGACGCTGCGATAATGAATGTACAGACTGGATCCGGTCCGGCACAGTGACCGCTTATGCATATGTCCCGACAAGTAAACCGGCCAGTAAATTCGAGGTATTGCCCCTAAAGTTTCAGGCGGAAAAACCGAAATTCCGAAGGAGTATTTTGCACTTTGGAGTACAAACCGCTTATCGAAACTAGCGCTCATGTCTGGCACTCAACCCGGAATAGATCGTGCGGACCAATGGTCCTCAAATAGCGAGATAATGCCGTCCGCCTAGCCCAAGTTTATTAGTTCTTCTCTGGATGTGATTTCTTAATGCCGTAAGCTTCGATCCCTGGAAAATGTGTATTTCATGATAACATTGGTGAGAAAATTGAATACGTTTGGAGAGAGAGAGAGAGGGCAACCTTGCTTAATCACACCAATTGTAGCACAACTTCTGAACAGTTGGTTGTAAATTCCTACACGTAAATGCGGGACTAGAGAGCACAAAGTATACTTAAAACGTCTAGGACATCTGTTTTTAGCCAGGTGTATGTAGAAGAACTCACCTCTCTACGGATTTAAAGGCTCCTTTGAAGTCGAAAATCGTAATCGCTGCCCAGCAGTACGTATGCCACTGTCCAAACATTTTGGGTAATGTGAAAATGTGGATCAGTGTGCTCGCTGTCTCGGCTCTTGGATTCGAGTCCCACGTAACGTGGTTAGGCGTCACTGCATTACTGAAACCAGCATCCGCGTGGTGACCGGCGTTAGGTAGATCTTTGTGCTTGGAACAGTAGCTGGTGGTGACATTTCTGGCCCTTCAAGGCAAAAAGATTTACCACTACTTCCTCAATTGAAGTATGGATCTAATCTCACAGACCCCGGCTGGAGCTGTGGGTCGGATGAAAGACCTACGTTTAGAATGTGATGGCCAACCAAACTGGGCGCGTGCCAAGTTGTTATATTATATATTAGATTTGAACTTTCACCTTTGGTTCATTAACAGACCGTCGTGGGTCCTGTTTTGCGGATTAATCGGGTCCGGTTCCATGCATTCTTCGCTGCACCAACTTCCTCTGTTCCTTGTTCAATCAACCTTCCCTATCCACACGCAAACTTTGTGCTTACGCCTAACAGAACCTTCAGCCAAATTTTTCCGCGATCCCGAAAGGATGTATCGTCTTGTATCAAGGATTGACAGCAACCGTCCTGGGACCCCGTGGTTAGTAGGTGCTGGTTCGGAAACACCACCGGCTAAGTTTCCAGTGTCACGTTTGTTGTCTCTTCCCAGTTATGATTGATGTTATTACGTAATTCGTGACTCAGAAAGCTTTTCAAAGCTGTTCAAAAAGTTTGCTTCTTAGGTTTGCTCGGGAAACAGTTGAAATCCACATCCAGTACTGATCCGTGGCATGTAGCTAACGCATAATGATCAATTTGGCTCGCGGTTGTTCAGCAGTAGGGGACGCTGGGTAGCACAAAGGTGTTCACTGTTTCCGAATTCGGTACTACTGAGTTCAGAGTGAATAGCGAAAGTAGGTGGGAGGCCCCAGTCATCGGATGCTTCTGCTTATCCACCCAACTGTATGCAGTGAATAAGGTGACGCGGTTTATGTCATCACACGACGGTCGATATAACAGGTAGGTACTTTGGTTGTGCCTTGGAGAGGAAATCTACTAGGTAGGTATACAGTGCTGCTGTGAATACCACGATGCATCTTACATTGTGTTATCCTTGATCAGTTGGATGAATGGGGTATGTGAATGAATTAGAGTTTTAAGACCAATGTTTGCAGAGCAATCAAACTCCTGATTAGAGTGTTCTTTTTTGGCATGGATATACTTGAAGTACGAACTGCGGTGCTACCTAGGATTATCCGAGTTGTCTGTTAGTCATCAGCTGAGAAAGCCAATCCTGCTTTGCCTTTAGCTGGAAATCATGACTAACCTGCTTACCACAACCAGGGTAACATACTACTTCTTCTATCAGTTACACTTTTTTCCTGATATCGTTCAATTCTCAAGGCCCTGCTTGCAAACACGAAGACAAACGATTCACGGGACACAGCGCGCAGCACTTAAGTATGTGCGAATCGTGTTTTGAGAACCGTTTTCTGAAAAGTTTTGGAATAATCGATAGATTTGTTGCTGGGCAACCTTTCGCTTTTGACGCTTGACGTAACCCAAGTAAATGGGTTACGGGGTCGACCGAGATTTAAGACGAAAGGAGAACCAATCAGCTAATTCTGTGTTAGGTTTCGGCCCAGGGATTTTGTGTGTTAGGGTGAGTCACCAAATGTTGAGACCAATGGGGCAACCTACATGGATTTGGATCTGGCTCAGGGTCTAGTTCTTCCGGTTGGGTTCACGTGAAGATTTTTTTGAGCGTCTAATGGGGCAACCTACATGGATTTGGATCTGGCTCAGGGTCTAGTTCTTCCGGTTGGGTTCACGTGAAGATTTCTCTTGAGCGTCTTTTGCACTTTTTGTCCGTGTGTGTGGACGAGCTGGTGCTACGATGGTTTTGTAAGGGAGAGAGAGTCTGTGAGCGTTGGCTTGGTCGGAGTCGATCCCTTTTTCTAACGATTCTACGTGTTAGGGACTTTACCACCAGGCTTTTAACCAACTGTAGTGGAAGAGTCAGAGTTACTGAGACGAAAAATGCCGCAGGTAAGGTGAAGGTATGCAGCGGTGTAAATTCTTTGGTATAGGAAACGGGAGCACATTCGATAATTGTCCATCAGTCGCAGCATACCCGTCATACACGGCCATTTGTGAAAAGACGGGAAACAGAAAACAGAGCAGTCAATCCTCACACAACTTGCAATGTGAGTACAATTAGGCTAGTTTGGTAACCCGGTTTATGCCAATTATCATACTACCTTCAATCTGTAAGTAGCTCAGAGGAAGAGTAACTTCACAAGACGCAACTTCCTGGGAAGCCGCCACTCGAGGAGCCCATCAATGTGTGACCAAGTGATGTGGTGACTGAAGTATGATTTGTGTTGTGTCCTGTCTAGGTATAAGTCACCCACATTGGTGATAGGCCGTTTGCGGCTGAGCGGTTGATTGTTCAAACTACTAGCCGGGAATTCGCGGGTTCGAGACACCCTGAAGTTTAGTGAGATACGCGTTGAGGATGATTTACGGTAAGGATGAAACAGCTCTGCAATGGCTCCACTTACAAGACGAAATCTTGGTTGAAGATTATCCATTCCACACTATTATAAGTTCTTCACACTGTCATCAAAATACGTCCGCATTTTTGTTCGGTTTCCTCAACTGAATTTCCATCCATACGCCCTTTCCAAACAAACGCCATTGCTAAGCAGAAATCAGTGGAGTATATTTACGAACAGAAATCACAACACAAGACATACATCCCGGTTATATTCCAATTTTATAGGTATCGTCTTAATGTCTTATGTGGAATTAACTAGTCCGGTGACAGAACTGTTTGGAAGAAAAACCGTCTTTCATTACGACTGGTACAGTAATGAAAAAGTTCCTGGTCAGATATAGGTGAGTTTTGAAAAACAGATACTCGATGGTTAACGCGTCAAGATATCCTTTACACAGTGCCCCATACTTTGATAACTGGCAATTAGAATCATTTGAAATCGTATGAACTTGATAACTGTGTTGCAAACGTCTTATCACCCAGTAGAGTTTACCACACCAGTGCCTAGTAGTGTATCGTGTTACGTACGTTGCGTTACACCG